AGGGGGGGGGGGGGGGAAGACCACTCTTTTTACCAATCAAAAATAGACACATAAGCTGATATATTAAAAAATAGTACTGACATCAAAGAAGAAGATGAAATAATGTGAAGATTGTTGCTTTATTTATTTTTAGTGCCAAAGCAAGAACTGAAAAAGATATATTAATATGCTACTTTGTGAATAGCTACCATGTAGAGATGGAGGAGCCTGATGCTATGAGTGATTCTGTCAAGAGCGAACACTCCCATAAGGGTTACATATGACAGGCTGGTCAGAGATGGGCCAGCCTAAATATGAACCCATTGGAGAAGGAAATGGCAGCCCACTTCAATATTCTGCCAAAAAAGCCAAATTGGCGTTTACAACCAAGGCAACGTAGACAAGATACTGGAAGATGAACACCTGAGGTCAGAAGGTATCCAACAAACTACTGGAGCAGAACGGAGTCAAGTATGAATAGTACTGTGCTTGCGATATAGTTGGATTAAAATCAGAGGAAGTTCTAACTGTTGATGGGTCCAGAGGTAAAAGGAAACTTTGTTGCTGCAGAGATATCTGTGCATTGGTACACTGAATGTGAAAACCGAGAACCAAGGTTTGATGTCTGATGTTGTCAGAGCAGAAAACTATTCTTGAAGGTGAAAGAAGAGAGGATTATGCCAGTCTGTAGCTCAATATTTAAAGAAATGCATGATTATGTCAATAGGCAATGCCAACCCAGTGCAAATAGATGGAAAAGAAGTTGATAGTGGTAGACTTTCTTTCTAGGCTCAAACGTTTTACTCCAACATTGAATAAAATAACTACCCCTGAAAGAACTCAAACATTTTATTCCAAGATTAAAATAACTACCTGGGAAAGAACTTGAACATTTTACTTTAACATTAAGCCCTGAAAGAATATTTTTAAAAGCCAGATAAAGGGGGAGAAAAAAACCCAACAAAACAACAGCATGAACACCTTTGAGTTTCAAAGTCCATCTGAATAAAATTATTTTTGCAGCATTATGAAATGTCAGTAAGTGGAGGGGTGTGTGTGAAGATTCTGAGAGTAGGGTAAAATGTTTGAAATATCAAGCCTTCCACAGAGAAAACCTTAATGTGGAGACCTGGTGTCTATGATTTTCATTCTGTGCAGAACCTGCTTGGATAGAACTTGCTATCAAGATATACCACAAGCTAGAAAGTAAGAAAACATTCTCCTTGGCTTCCCAGTGAATGAAAATGGTTGGGAAGCACCCCCCCCCCCCCCCGCATCTTATGGCTTCTGGAAATAAAACCCATGGAGAGTTATTGCTCATACCTTTCTTCCTTGGTGAGATTAATCAGTCTTCTACATTTCCGGGCAAGGATGAAACTGAAATTTAAAATAACAAAGTGGAAGAAATAAATCTTACTCCTCT